GCCCCATCCCCCAATGCCAAAATTGGACTAACTCCATCCAAGTGAAGGATCAAATAGGGTCTTTCTTCTACTACCCGTCTCTCGCCCCTCAAAAGGCAGACTGTGGCTTTGGCTCGATCCGAATCAACAATCACATTGTCATCCCTACCTCTTTCTCAGCTCTCGCAGCTGAAATCGATGTTCTTGTGGGAGACTGGTACACCACAGGCCACAATGAATTGAGGGCTACTATGGACATGGAATCTGTCTTGAATCATCCAGATGGAATCCTCATCAATGGACAAGGTCCCTATGGATCCAGCTTCACTGTGCAACCAGGGTCTCTATATCGATTTAGGATCTCAATTGTCAGTTTGAAAACATCGATCAACTTACACAAACAAAACCTAAGATCTCAAATGTCAGTTTGAAAACATCGATCAACTTCCACAAACAAAACCATAGGATGATGCTAATTGAAGTTGAGGGCTCACACACATTGCAAAACTATTATGACACACCTTTGACATTCACCTGGACCAGTCTTACTCGATTCTTGAAAATGCCGACCAACCAATCAACTCCTATTACATGGTTGCCTCTTCTGATTTCTTGGAGCCTCAACTCAATAGCACAACGGTCCTCTCTATGTGTGTGGAGAATTTTACACGAATATTGTTCTTTAAATTTCTACAAGTAGTTCTAGAGTTTTTTCATTTCTTATTGCACTCACTAAACATATAGAACCAATTACCTATAGAGAAGCCACAAAAAACCCCACGTGAATTGAGGTTATGAATGAGAAATTGTTTGCTTTTCATCAAAATCACACTTGGAATCTTGTACCTAGACCAAAAAATAAGAATATTGTTAGATGTAAGTGGTTTATGCGATCAAGTACAAGGTTGAAGACACAATTGAAAGGTACAAAGCAAGATTGATGGTTAAAGATTGTAATCAAAAGTATGGGTTGGACTGTGAAGAAACCTTTAGTCTAGTTGTGAAGATGGGAACTGTCACACTGACATTATCAATAGCTAATCTCTGTGATTGGAGATTACATCAGTTAGATGTCAAAAATGCCTTTTTACATGGTGATCTCTAAGAAAAAATCTATACAGAGAAACCAGACGGGTATGGAGAATCCAAATGTTCTGATATTGTGTGTAGATTAAGGAAAGCAATATATGGTCTTAAACAAGTCCCACGAGCTTGGATTATAAAATCTTTTGCAAAGCCTTTTTTACATGAGGTTATTCTCGAAATGTTGTAAACAACTCCTTATTTCTGAAAAAGAAATGACAAAAGCTGGTGATGGTACTTCTCTATGTTGATGATATCATTGTACAGGAAATGATGATGATGAAATTAAGCAGCTAAAGATAATGCTCGGAGCACAATTAACTATGAAGGATATTGGAAATCTAAAGTATTTCCTAGGTGTGGAAATTGAGCGCACGAAACAAGGTATGAAATTGACACAACACAAATATGCATTGGATTTGTTAGAAAAAATTGGAATGAGTAACAATAAGCTATCACCATCACCAATGGTCATAACAAAGAAATTATCTGCTAGAGATGGTGATCATGTTCAAGATAAAAAAAGGTATAGGTCTTGTTGGTGGTCTACAGTACCTTACATTTACTCGCCTAGATATCACCTATGTTGTCAATCAAGTATGTCAATTTATGTATGATCCTTATGAGATGCACCTCATAGCAGCTAAAAGGATTCTTCGATATGTGAAAGGTACCCTAGGTGATGGTCTTTTCTTTCCCATTGGTGGAAGGCAGGTTAACATTATCGATTATTCTGATGCAGACTGGGCTGAAGTTCCCGATACGAGAAGGTCAGTATCTGGATTTTGTATTTCCTTTACAGAATCTCTAGTGTCTTGGAGTAGTTAAAAGTAAAGAATTGTTTCACGTTCAAGTTCAGAAGCAGAATATCAAGCAATGTCTTCTACAACTACTAAAATCACTTGGTACCGCTACATTCTATCAGAATTGGATACAAGAATTCTACGTTGTGATAACCGAAGTGCAATTAAGCTTGCTTTTAATCCAATTCTTCATGCACGGACCAAGCACATTGAACTGAATTATCATTTTATTCGAGAAAAGGTTGAAAGTGGAGAGATTACTCTTGATTATGTTTCAACTGTAAAACAACTTGCTGATATTTTTACAAAAGGTTTCCTATTTTACAACATCATTCGATATCAAACAAGTTGTCCATGTTTCCTTAGTATCAAGAATGATGATAATGATATGGAGAATGATCGATCTAGGGAATGATAATGATCTAGAAAGATACGATCATGATAAAGATTAACATGATATATTGTAATATCTTCATATGGTAATATCTTTTTTATCAGTACAGATTTGTTGTAATCACATCTTTGATTAATTCAATCAAATATAAGTACATAATAATTACAAATAGAACTCACATCCCTCTCCGTGTGTGGAGAATTTTAGTCTAATATTATTCTTTAAATTTCTTCATAGAAGACCTCAATTATCATGTCTGGTTTGCTCTGCCTTACATAATGAAATCAATTATTTATTCTCTATTTTAATCACTTTTATATGATACTTTATAAAGTAATAAAAGTGAAAATATGGTAAAAGACTAATTGGAAAAAGAATAATGAATTTGATAGATAGCACAATAAAGGAAAATAGTTTGATAGGGCTGTAGCCCTATCAAAACAAGTAAAGCCTCACCTCATAACTCATCGAAAATTGCAATTTAAGCACTAGAAAACTTTTAAATCAATCATCTTGGCTTGAACATTATGATTGTGAAATGAAAAAAGAGGATTTCAAACAATAAATTGTGTATATTGTAATAAAATATCTAGATTGTCCATTTCGCCCTAAAAATAAGTGTTTATAGATCTACAAGATCTGTACCATTTTTTGAATTTCAAATTTTATCGCCGATGTTGGAAATTAATTTTAGAGCCATCATGAAGACTTTTGTTGCCGAAAGTACTTTATGGATCAGAATTTGAAGTGAGGATTTATTTTGTTTTTATAAAACCTAAGCCTTATAAAAACCTCATCCCACAATAAAAGCAAAATCATGAAGCAAATAGAATAAAGAATTCAATTAATAGTACATTAAAAGGAGGATCTGGAAGCCTTCTTTTCTTAAAAATTAATCGAAAGAAAGGCAATCCTTATAAATTGCAATCTCTGCTTCTCTTGTTGGCTATCTCATTCTCCCATAACTCATTTACTCAAAGTACCATACCAAAAAATCCTTAACCATAAAATCCATGGCCACATGTGTGGAGAACTCAATACCAAAAACCACAGAAAACCCAATCTTTCATTTGAACCAGTCCAACAAGGTCTCTCTCCCTCTCTCTCTCTCAAACTCTCAAATTCTCAAGACCTAGCTTCTCAAATCTCCTATGTTGCTCTCTGAGCAAGCCCCAAACCCCAATTACACAGGATTCAAAAAACCCCATCTCCATATTTAAAAACTGAATGGATAAGGATTAAGGGATTCAAATGGTTAACGGGCAATATAAAAATTAGATTTTTTTTTAAAAGGGTTGGTTTCTACGAAGTTGCAACTTTAAACAATCCAATTAAGAAGCACTCCAAATTTTATTATAGTATGTAATTTTAGTGTAAATTGTTTTTAGGATTATCTCAAAATTTATTTTCATATCTAAAAAATTTAAACTAAAAAAATAGTCAAAATCAGGTAGATCTATAAATTTATGACAATCTTGAAAATGGATGGTCTAGATAATGTGTTGCAAGATGCACTATTTATGGGACTCATTTTTTTTTTTTTTACAACTTTATGTAAACCTTTTCCTTTTTAAAATAACTTCAAATAAATATTTAGAGGGAAAATCAAATGGATCCTAAGTCTCATCCGACTAATGTACATGGAAGATAATTTCAAATTTAAAACCTTCATCAATGTGTCTGCAACAATTGGGATGAGGTCAAATAACTCGTATTTCCCTCGTGCTTAACAAATGTATCTTGAATGTAATGGTATTACACCTCAATATTCCCTCCCAATTATATCTATATCTTGGATATCAAGATATAATGGTTGGGAAAGGTTCATATGAGGCCAATACCTGCACCTCAATATTCCCTCACAACTATATTTATATCTTGGACATCAATATATAATGGTTGGGAAAGGTTTATATGAGGCCAATACCACCACCATATGAGTTTGAGCCACCCACCATCTAACTTAGTTGGACGGTGGTGATTGAAAGGCTTGCAACCCACCATCTAACTTAGTTGTATGGTGGGTGACTCAAGTTACAATGCCTGCATAGTAGCGGTGGCCATAATGGTATTGCACCTCAATATCTATATTAAAGATTTTTTGATATAAAATCATATTTAAGGACTATTAGTATGAATTTAGGGGCCTTTTTAATTTAAGATTGATTTTTAAGTAAATTCAAATTTATTTTTATAAAATCATATTTAAGGACTATTAGTATGAATTTAGGGGCTTTTTTATTTTAATATTATTTTTAAGTAAATTCAAATTTATTTTTATTTAAAATGACTTAAATCCTTGCATAAACATTAAAAAGAGGGTTCAACGCATTTATCCGTAAGAGTTGATGGGATGGTAATGGGCCAGGTGGCTCCTCCTTAACAGAGTTGGGGTATAAAATGTGGCCCGAGTGCCAGGATAGGCCCAGCCCGGCCAGGCTTTTATTTTTTTCATCCTTTTCGTATTGTTTTATTTTAAATTTACCCGACGTCACCGGGCCTGGCCAGCCCTATGGGGAATAGGGAAGGGCTATGGCCAGGGAGGGCCCGGCCGAAGCCCGGTTCGTTGTCAGCTAGAGTTGAGAGACAAAGGCATCTTGTTCATACAAGTTGGATAAATTTTTGGGGTGGACCAATAATAGGAATCCACGTGTACTAATAACACCTGGTCCACGTGGCAAGTTTCACAAGAAGCTTTTGGACTTTTAACAGAAATAGTGTCTGGTCTGGCTCTTAAATTTTGCTCCTCTCTCACTCTCTCAAGGCTCCTCTCGGTTTAGGAGAAATTTTCGCTGTAATAAAATAGGGTTAGAGAGAGAAGAGAGAGAGAGAGAGGAAGGCTAAGAGGGCCTTGTATCATCTAAACCCCACAAATGTACAGATTGAAAGTTGGGTTTTGCGAGAGAAATACCCTATGTTTTACCCCTCATAATTGAAAGACGAAGAAGGAAGACAAAATAAACAAACATTGAATAACAGAAAATGGGGGATTTGTACGCCCTTGATTTTGATGGGGTAATCTGTGATAGCTGTGGTGAGAGCTCTATCTCAGCTCTCAAGGTGATTCTCCAACAACCCATTGCCCTAATATTTTCTTCTTCTTCTTCTTCTTTTTTTTTTTTTTGGAGCTGTTTCTAAGGCTTACATCAATTCTTGATTAAATTTTTGAAAAGGTAATTTTTCCATTATACTTTAAATTGATGAGTTTTTCATTTTACTTTCAAGCCATTTTGATGGCCAAAGTTTGTGCAAATTAAATTCTTGATAGGCTTTGTGGTTGTTCATTAGAAGGGTTTTTTGCATCCATCTTTAATGCCTAAACTGTGTGAAATTCAATTCTTGATTAACTTTTTATCTATTAATACCAGAAACAATTGTCTTGTAATTACCTCTTATTTTTTAGGCTGCTAAAGTGAGATGGCCTCAACTCTTTGAAGGAGTGGATTTGGAATTAGAAGAATGGATCCTCGATCAGATGCACATTGTAAGTTTCACTTTCATGTTTCATTCTCCTTCTTATTAGACACTTTTATAGTTTAGTTATCATAATTGATGGGGAATATTCGTTTTGATTTTCTTGAATTTATTTAAAATGTAGTGCTGGTGTTAGTGTACCAAAGAAGAGAGGATTTACACTATGTTAAATTGTTATTCTTATTGTTAAATGTATCAATCCATCTTTGTTGTTTCTTTGTATTTGAAATTCAATTGCTTTGTTCTTTTCTTTCACAAACTGAATAAAATTATTATTCATGTTGTTAACTGTGCAGATTTTAACTCTGTTATGTTTGTTATTGAGTGATGAGATTGAATTGCTTCTTTTTTCTTTTCAACTCTGAATGTCACTGTAAAGGTTTTAAATCCACAAACATCTTTGTGTATTGGTTTTCATGGCCATTTGTAGTTTGTCTCATGGGCTTTGCAGTTTGTGGTTGTGCATGTGGAGTGCTTTCCACAAACATCTTTGTGTAAACATGGGTTGTCTTGTAATCATCTCTATCATTAGTTACCTATCAGAATAATTCTTTACAACTGATTTGTGAGAAAAACATTAACTAATGCATTCTTTCATCTAGGTCGTAATCCGACAGTTTGAAATTTAGGCTTCAATTCATTTTGAATCATTGATTAGTAACAGTGAATAACTATCTGATTTACAGTAATTGCTGATCCTCTTGAGCATTGAGACTTGGATTGTATTTGTGACATGTTTTTACATGAATATCATGAAACTTTAATGTGAACATTCTTGACAGATTCTCATGGATTACTGTTGTAAGATTGCCATCTGCATGATTCTACAGTCCTTGTAAATTCAGTTTGGACTGTTTCTCACCTAATATTTGCTTTTGGCTATTTTGCTTGCCACTATATTGTTGAATGAACCACTTAATTAACAATTCAAATTGATGTCACTGGGTTCTACTTATAGAAACAGAATAATAAACATTGGTTTAAAGGAAAGTTAAAAAGCATTTCTACATTTTGAGCTTTTGCCTCACATAAGAGAGTGCTAGAATGTTATTTTTTCGTTCTTTTTTTCTTTTTCGTTTTGTTTTGATAAAAGTGCTCGACTGTTCTTATAAATTGCATACTCAGAATGCATGTCTTTTCCCAGCAATTAATTGATCTGAACTTGATAATGGATATTGTGGGTCCACTTGTCGAGGAATGAACCTTAATGGGGAATATTTGTAGAACCCACCACCATGTCAACCATCTAATTTTGAAAAATTTTCCTACATTTAATGATATTATGCATCTGTAATGCGTCACTTTTAGAAATAATGCGGAACGATGGCATTAAAATTTGTCTTCCATCTTTTTTTGTGGAATACTTTTTATCTTTTCAAAAATTAATTCTTATTCACCATGATTAGCAGAGTATAACCATTGCATTAATCAAGTTGACATGTTTCTTATTGAAACTAGCTTAGTTTCTATGTTCTATTTTTGTTACCGCATAATGATATGCTAACTATCACCACTTTGATGAGTTCAAGTTAATGCCAAGTGAAATGTACTATTATCCATTGCACTATAATCAGAACAGTCCATTATGAAAGTCAGCGTGTGATGGAATGATTCATGGTAATGGAGACCATAGGAGCTGCCATTGGGAACAAGTTCTATTCTAGTGGACCCCACTTTGTTCCCATCCATGTGCAATGGCTTTCCATAGCCTTTTGCATCATATCTTACTGTCCTTCATTTTAATATCTTTCTTTTTCCCTCGATGAAAGATTTTATCCTTGTAATGGAAGTGTCTGTTCGATGAACCCCACTATCTCCATCTTAGGCTAGTTTGGTTGGATTTGACTAATTAATATGCTTCTTACTGTAACAGGTTCGACCTGTCGTGGAAACTGGATATGAAAATGTACTTCTTGTACGACTGTTGCTGGAAATTCAGAAACCTACTATACGGAAGTCCAGTGTGGGTACTTGCTTTGTGCACAAATATGACTTCCTTTATCTGACATGTTTTTGCATACTTTTCAGATGAAGCATTACAACAATGAATGGGCTAGATTAATGAACTTAGTTCTTTTGTTCTGCTAAATGTGTGTATGTTTGTGCCTGACAAGATTGGCAGATAGTGTTATCTGTTTGATGGAGGATGCCTTCTACTTCAAGAGATCCACATTCCAGTCGGTTCCCAATCCTCTGATACTCTGGCAGCAGGTCCTATAATCTAGGGCATCAGAAAGAGAAGGTTTCAGAATTAGGGCCATGCAAACGTTTTCACATGGCTTGTTATCATGGATCAATGAGGCTTGCATATACTTTGAAGTAGATCTGAGGGCAGTTAGACTGATTTTTCAATATTCTAATAGTAGTGCTAGCTCTATTAACTTTGTGTACATATTGTGTCTCGGTGGCCCGCGAATCTAGAGAATCTGAGTACTTTAGAGGTTGATAAAAAATGCAATAAAAAAAAAATATGTGATCTACCCTAGGATAGGCCTAGGTAGTTGAGCTTAAGGATTGCTCCAAAACAGAATAACATGAAGAAAATAGTGGGAGATAGTTAGGTTCAGCCAAAACTAGGCCTTCTACAAGCTGTTAGAAAGACAGTCCCTGGTCTAGCACGTAATCAATGACCTAGAAAGTCTTTCTTTGTGTTTCTTTCTTTCTCCCAAATTAAAACCAACTATTGCTTTTTTCTAGAATATGAGAAAAATAGTTACCAACTTCCAAACCTTAAGACAAAAGTATGCTTCTCTCAGATGAAGGAAACCTTATCCGGTCGCACCAGCAATATGACCTGCCTCTGTCGAAATAAAGAGAGCAAGTGACACTATTGGATATGCTTATAGGAAGATACAACAGAAATGAGGCACTGGGCTATGCATGGGGTACACTGGGAAATAAAGAGTTTAGAATGAAGTTTTTGAAAGTCTTAGAGAAACACTCAAAATGAAATGGTTTATATGAGAGATTAGAATGGTATGAAAGGAAGGTTTAAATGTAATTGAGAAGGATAAAGAAGAAAGGATTAAGACATCGGTTTAGAAGGGGTCCTAAAAAGGAGATAATTAAGAGAATAGAAAGAAAAGGAAAAATAAAAAGAAAAAGAATTGATGAGTAAAAGATATGAAGAGAGACAGACAGAGAGAGAGAGAGAGAGAGAGAGAGGAGCTTTTCCTTGAATGCTTTACCTTCCATGGCTTCCAAACTGAGTGTCTCATACTTGTACAACTTCCACATAGGAATCTCAACCTTAATAGATGAGGCCTTTGGAATACATAACCGCTTCTTTGAGTGCAAGAGAGACCGTATAGAAGAAATTTCTCTGAGTTCACACAAAAGGCAGTACTTCTCTACTATGATTGCTTCAGTTGGCAGTTGCTTTGTCCATTGAGTCAAAATACTGCCAACGCTTGAGATGCAAATTTGATGATTTGATCTGTAATTGCCAATTGATGGGGTAGGAGGAAGAGTCCATGTTTTGGTTCTTCGTATTGAAGCTTTTTGTTAAAGAACTGAAACCTAACTTGAAATAAATGTGGGTGCAATTGTACTACGATCATCATCATCATTATCGTCATCCAAGCCTTATCCCAATGAAATTGTGCTATCATTGGTGTAAATTATGAGTAGGAAGCCTAATCCTGCCATATCACACACTCATATTTCTGGAATTATAACAATCCAAAAAGGCTTAAAGTGTCTTGCTTTTAGTAGGTTCTCTCTTTTCCAAGAAGTGGTAGATAGAGATGTTTTGATTAAACCCATGTTGACCTGCATGTAAATATTGGTTATATGGTTCCGGACATTCATACCCTGAATATTATGGGCAAGCACACAATAATTTCTGGTCAAGCACAGAATTACAAAAATTCAAAAAGCATGAACTTGTCACAGTTATGAGTATTCTCCCTTGGTTGATCATGGCATTCTTTGAAGGCTTGTTATCAAGACCACCAATGGAGACTTCTTTTTGTGTGAAAACACATCTCGACATAAAAACTTGTGCTTTTTGAGGATCATGGTAGATTGACTACAAGCAGATGACATACACTAAACAAAGAACCGCCAGGCATTAATGCTATTGGTAATTGGGAATAAGCTGCAATCTGCCCATAGAAGTAATGGACTGGGAAGACAGTACTGCAAAACCATTGAGTTGCACAATGTGACATGGCTTCTAAGCCAGCATGGATGCTAGTCAATATGGTTGGTACAATTCCATGTTTAAGACCACAAGCAAGGGTTTTGGGAACATAGAAGTTCCCACAGCATACAACACTACCCCTGGGGCTGCACAGTGCAGAATTATACAGAAATATAACTAGGTAGGCTACTAGATGATGCCCCTTTGCAGAAACTCTAGAGTTGGAACCATGATTTCTGACTTGCATGAAGTTGAAGGTTTTACTCTTTAAATAGCTTCATCACAACATCCAGAATAAATACAAGCTTCCTAACAGTATCGGAAAGAGTGATATCATTGTGAGGTTTGACCTTTTCTGAAGTTTAACATCAAGAGGAACACCTCTCGATATCCCAGAAGTGATATATCTTTCATCCCTCTCAGAAATATCAACCTTTGGTATCACCGATATTCAGCGTTGTTCTGTATACATTTTGTTAACAGTTGTAGAGCCAGCATCACACTTGTAAAGCAGAATGTAGTCCAGTTGCCTTATGTTCTTCTTTAAAAGATGCACCAACTCCATAGATCAATAATAGCATGCCAAATAAATTGCTTGCATGGCCCCCATAGTTGTGGAACCTTGTCTTAATTTGAAGAGGCCCTTAGAGTTACTGATCTGCTAACCTAGAGTATCAGAGGAGTGGAACCATATCACGGGTGCCTCCTTCCCATAAACTATCCTCATCTAGTCAGTTATACGACCCACCAATCTTGTTTGGTGCACATACAACAGGTAGGTCTTTATAGTACCACCTGCCTATCTTCTCAAGCAAACAAACGTCCACACTAGAAAATAGGGGAGAGAGAGAGAGAGAGAGAGAGAGAGAGAGAGAGAGAGAGTAGTACGTAGTATAGTAGAGTATTATAGTAGTGTAGCGTCGTCGACCGTACTTACGTTTCGTTTTCGTACTTACGTTACTTAGTTTTAGTTTGTT